CCCTGCACCCAGCTTAACAGCAACAGCAGCACCAACAGCAACAAAACCTTCAATCAGAAGGGCTGGATTAGTGGAGAATTGGCCCCCAAACTTTCAAAAGCTGCCAAATCCTAGTGCAGACAATAGTGAATCATACAGTGGTGTGACTCACTATGGAACAAATTTAGCCTACAACATATTTTGAAATGCCATTACAGTAATTTCAATGAAGAAGAGAGGCTAATTTTTAATTTCACCATGGAAAATGCATCATTACCTGGATTGGGTTCTACACATCTGACAATTTTATTGTCTCTTATACTGCTATGTGAACAGTGTGCTGGATTAGGCGGGCCCTTTGTCCAATAGTGGCCAGATAACTCAGTGGTTCAGGTATCTGGCTATGGAGCCACAGAGTGGGAGTTTGATTCTCTACTCTGCCTCCTGGGAGAAGAGCCAGCTTGGGCAGCCTTGGGCAAGCTGCTGAATCTCAGGATACCTCCATAAGAAGGGAATGGTAAGGCATTTCTTAGTACTCTCTACCGAGACCTCCATAAGAAGGGAATGGTAAGGCATTTTTTAGTACTCCCTACCGAGATAACCCTGAAAAAGGTCACCGTAAGTCAGAATTGACTTGACAGCACACAAGTATTTTGTCATTTGCCTAATCCAGCATGGTTCTTCCTGTGTTTTTATGGAAAATTTGGGAACTCTTCACTGCCGTAGCCAATCCTCCCTTCCCAGCATTTTTAAACAAGTACATCTTGAGAGATCCAATACTGTTTACTCCAGCTCTTACCCAATGAATGAGTGAGCCCTGGTGCAATTTTTAAAAGCTTAACAAAAGCAACTCATCCCCCAGTCTAATTAAAATCCACCATATAAAAGTTTTTTGGCTGTAAAGATAACATGGCTAGTTGAAACCCAGGAGGCTCGATATGCTTTTCCAAAGATGTGTCAAGTCCATTACAGTGGAATGAACTACTAATGTGACATTCCTGACATAATGTGATGCATCTAACCACCTGAATGATGATGCATCAGGCAGAAGGAATTTCACTGTTGTAAAACGAAAGGAGGGAAAACAATCTGGATGAAGTAGGACATAAATCCTTTTACATAGTTTAACACAGATTTAATTATCAAGTGTTTGTAAATGTTCAACCAATTAGGCAACTTGATTGGCTGAAGATCCTTGGATTTATAGGTTTGAAGACAGATTATGTTGGGCAAGTAAAAGACCTATATTGCACAGGATGATTTAGATAGCTGCTCATGAGAACGTATTCCATTAAAATGCCATTACTATTAATAAGAAGAATGTTGTTTCCTTTTGCCCCCAAAATAGGCATGTTGAAAGTCAGGTTCCTGGCAAGAAGGAAATAAATTGAAACACTACTAGGAACAATAAAGTATATATTAATATTTGTTTTATAAAGATTTTTGTGTGAGTGGAGGAACCCCCACCCAACACTCAGTCAAAAGAAATTGAGCAACTGCTTCTTTTTCCTTCAAAACATTTATTTTGTGAAAAGAAAATGGACAGAAACAGCAAAAAGGAAATAGGAAGTTCCATGTGGACAACACTACAGTATTGCCTAGACCTCCCTCTAATTCTGTGAACCATGTAGATTGATTGCATGGTCAAAGATCCATCTGGAAGCACCTTTGAAATTTTTTCCATGAACTGCAACAGCAGCTCATGGACCATGTGGAGGGTAACTTCTCACACAATTTCTGTGCAGTCTGTGACTATGTGCGTATTCCAGCCCAAGTGAAGCTACAGTGATTTCAGTGAGCATTAACTGTATGACTGCAAACCTTGTTTGGAACACTGAGCTAGAGGCTCTTAGCTGACAACAGTCCCCACCCTGGAATCATGATGGTTATATGAGCTACCAGGATAAGAGATGGAAGACCTCTTACTGTATTTGCCGGCCTACAAGGCGACCGGCCGCCGTATAAGATGACCCCCCCCAACAGGAAGAGCCTGGGCGGGCGGAGGCAGGAGGAGGAGGAGGAAGAGGGGAAATGGGGGTGGCGGGTGAGCGGGCGCGCTGGCTCAGCAGCGGGAGGGTGAGGAAGAGGGCAAGAGGCTAGGGGGGGCGACAGGAGGAGGAGGAAGAAGAGGGGAAACGGGGGTGGCGGGCGAGCGAGCTGCTGGCTCAGTGCGCGTGGGGCCGCGGGCTCTGGCCAAGGGCGAGGAAGAGGACAAGAGGCTGAGGGAGGGCGGCAGGAGGAGGAGGAGGAGGAGGAGGAAGAGGGTAAACAGGGGGTGGTGGGTGAGCGCGCGCGCTGCTGGCTCAGCGCGCGTGGGGCAGCAGGCTCTGGCCAAGGGCGAGGAAGAGGGCAAGAGACTGAGGGAGGGCGGCAGGAGGAGGAGGAAGAAGAAGAGGGGAAATGGGGGTGGCGGGCGAGCGATCGCACTGCTGGCTCAGCACGCACGGGGTGGCGGGCTCTGGCCGAGGGCGAGGAAGAGGGCAAGAGGCTGAGGGGGAGCGGCAGGAGGAGGAGGAGGAGGAGGAGGAAAAGGGAAACAGGCAGGTGGCGGGCGAGCGAGCCCAAATAAAGTGCACCCGGCGTACAAGACAAACCCCCCACTTGGAGGCATGTTTTTTGGGCCCAAAAAGTCATCTTGTACGCCGGCAAATACGGTAATATGTTAGTGGAGGAAACAATGGGAGCAGGTGATTGACCTTATGTCTTCCTGTGCTTCCCCCACCCATCCCTCCAGCTAATCCAATTGGTTATTTTTGGTAGGGAATAATATGCATCAATATTCAGTGGGATCCAGCAGTACTCTTTAGACTCTCTTCCAAATGGAGCCCAAGTACTTTTCATTGGATTGTACCCTGTCTCTAATACTTGGAGGCTAATTCCAAATTCTTACTGAACTGTTACCTTTATGGGCCAAATAAAGTCACAATAAATGTGTAGCCTGTATAATTAAATTGTAAACCGCCCAGAGAGTGCTTGTAGCACTATGGGGCGGTATATAAGTCCAATAAATAAATAAATAAATAAATAAAGTGTGCAAAGGCACACAAGCACGCACAAGCAGAAAATGTGTAAGCTTTCAATAGTGTTATCTCTTCATTAGATGAGACGTAAAAAATAAATGGAGGAAGAAAGGGAAGTCCTTGTTGTTCATATGTTGCTTCATGATATAATGGAGGAAGGATGCTGCAGACCAAAAAGTAGACCTCATCAAATGATACAGTAGTGTTAGATTTAATGTGGGATACTCCTTAAGCTCCCTAAGAACTTGAAAGTTATGAAATTTGAGTTCCACATTTTAGACAATATAAATCCTCCATAGTGAACTCAAAGCTGCACCCATCCTATCTGGGGAACAAGATTCTTTCCCAAGTGGAAAACACAGCATTTGACCTGTAGAAAAGGTAATAATTTTGAAAGCTGGGGCATCTTTGGTACCTTTGCACACCTGCTTGGTGCTTTTTCATTGGCTTATAAAAGCATGACCGGCACTGCTTTTATACGAAGACTGTAATCCCATGTGCCGTACTTGTGAAGAGTAAGCCCTCATAAATTTGATGGGACATATCTGAATTAGACTGCACAACGTCCAATTTCTTAAGACAGCCTTGAGTAGAGTCTAAATACTGAGGTAATTCTGAAGGTTTCTGTATGCTATTATGTAATATATCAAATCTCCACCAACCTGATTTCGAAACCTACATCTGTTTCAAATGCTGTACTATGCTCCAAGTTTTACTGTATATTTCTACAGCTTTAGATTTGACCAGCTAAGGCCGGTCTCTTGCCAGAGCATAGTAAATGAAGAAGTTGGAGAAGCTTTTTTTCAGACTACAACTCCGAAATTCTCTTAGCAAGTTCTCATGCTGGCTATATGATTTTGGGAATTATAGTCCAATAAGCAACATTTCCAAATTCTGGATTCTGACTCAGTTTCTGCTTTTGATTTCTCCTAAGAACTGATGTAATGCAGTGGCTGAAAGCCTGAGTTATGAATAAAATTCAAATCTTACCACTGGCAGGATGATTCTGCACTAGGCTGTGTAAGGTAAATATCTCCCAGCTTCAGCATCCCTTGTGTGTAACTGGTGCATAATCAATACAAAACTGAGATCTTATATTTTCAGATACCTAAAGGTAGTATAAGGAGGGAATAGTATAACTGGTCCAAACCTCATCTTCCACCAGACGTCAGAAAATACTCCCCTGTACACATCTACATATGAGCACTTCATACAATTGGAAACCTAGAATGGTCAGTATTCCAAATTGTGTGGAGTGCTTATGAGCATACAGATGCTCAATTTCAAAAAGTTAGAATTCAGAATTGGGCTAGTGGGCACAGTTATGGAGCAACAAATTTTGGTCCATAACTGTAGCAGAAATAAATGAAAAAGTTTGTATGTAAAGGTCTTAAAACTATTCTAAAAGTGGTGTGGCTCCACTTACAGCTTTTTTAAAAAAGAATGCTTCAAGACCTGAAAACAATAGTTTGCAATCCAGAGTCCACCTGTTTGAGACGACAATCCTATCCTCATTTCCTTCACTGGACACAACTGTGACTTCCCCCTGCACTTAAGGATACCATACGTATTTGCAAAGTAGCAGACAGTATCCACTTTGAAAATAAGATTTCTGGTTGTAGAGGTTGGAGGGGGTTGTGCACAGGCTGTACTATGTCTACAGCTTTAAGAAGAAGAAAGTGCAAAACTAGCCAATAACTGTTGCACAATACAGCTGTCTTTCATCAAAAGCACAAACAATAACTTTACTTGCTGAATGATCTTCTTAGTTGCAAATGCAGATTCTTTGCACCTTCTTCCCCTTACATTCACTATTTAACCTCTTCTCTCTTCTTCTGCCTGTAGAATTTGACATACTGGCTATTTGGGAGGGAAGTTCTAGAAACACCCCTCCCCCTAGATAAAAACCTGCAAGTGAAAAAGATTTTTTTTTTAACACAAAAAGCATACCTTTTTTAACACAATTATTTTATTCTAGTGAAAGGCTATAAAATGGTGATAGTAGTCGTGGTGGTGATGAAGGTATTGACTCCAGTTGACTTCACAGTGTGCTTTAGATCAACCCTACAATGCGTTTCCTTTGTTAAACTTCCTAGCATTGATAGCAGAAAACCTGCCAGTCAGTATCCAGATGCGTAAAGAATGCTTCGGAAATGCCTGAGTCACATGAATAACAATCTGGCGTTCACCACTGACTGACTGCAGTGCTCCTGTGAGGATCAGCATTCTTTCTCTAAGGAACATTTAACACCTTTGTTTGGTGGTTATTGACCAATTGCCAAATATTCAGCAAAGCCTAGATGGATAACAAATATGATTGACTTCCCTTTATATCCAGAAAATGTCTTTGTAATTCTCCTATCCCATCAGATGACAGAGGATTATAATGCCAGGTATAAGATTTTTGCAGCAATAATTCTGTTTGCTAATGGTTGGGATAATATATATGTATGATGTATGGCATCAATACAGAACATTCAGAGTGTGTTCACACAGAGAGACGGACATACATACACAGCAACACATCCACTGTAATCCCAACACCATCCAGGGAAAAAAACTACAGATGACTCATATATCTCCCATAGGAAAAACAGACTTTATACAATCTGTAAGGCAAAAAAGCAAGCAAACAAAAATGTGGCATGTAAATAGGAGGCAATTTTAAGCAAAGAAAATGAAATAGGACAATACAATTTTTTGTCAGTATGCACAGACTTGATGAAATTCTCCCTAATGGAAAATACATTGGGCTTCTTCTGTTTATTTTATTTCCTGCAATAGGAAAAAAAGCCTCCTAGATATTTTAATAACTGTCATATGAGGGAAGAGGGGAACAAAATCCTTTCCAGTTGTTCTGACTGTATGTATTCTCTCCAACATTTTGCACCTGGTGTAAAAGAAATAAATGAAAGATAAGCATCAACAACAATCCAGTTTCAACCCAAAACTTCAATGTCCTCTTAATATTCAACCCAATTTTCTGATGCAACTTGAGCCTTGCATTCCAGCCCTTTTGTCTTAGAATATGTTTTTAAATACAGTTTCATGGTTCTTTCTAAATCCCTCACCCATCTGTATTTACCACTGTTTCCAGCTTAGGATAACCTTCTTGACATTCTGGTTGCTTATATCTCCATTTTTTCCTCAAATATCTAATATAAAAGGGTTACCTTTGTTTCCTGTCAACCCCTGCCCAGGCTCCTTGTGTTCCGTGGATGTTGAGTATATCAGAGCTCTTGCCAACGAAGTTAGCTGTCTCTCAGAGGCTCAAGCCGCAGGCGGAGGGGGGGGGAATGCTTCATGCTTACAAGCTGCCTCCAGGAGCAGCAGAGTGTAAGATAAAAGCAGAAACATTTCTTAGAGACATATGCCATCAGGATCCCAATAGCCAGTATTGTAGGAATGGCCAGACATCAAAGTTATAGCATCCTCTTTTTTTTTCTTCGCAGTTCTTCCATTATCATAACTGCAAGAGCTACAAAACAGACGAAAAATGATAAATAGGGAATTTGGGACTAGACATTTATTTATGTGCTTCATTTATATTCCAACTGTACTTGAAGTAGCTCAAGGTACTATACATGTTTCCCCTCATTTTGTTCTTACAACAATGGTCTGAGGTAAGTTAGGGTAAATTCACTGTTTGACTGTGGGCCAGCCACTACAGCAGTTGGTCAGTGGTTGTTAAGTGTGTTTTCTGGCTGTGTGTAGATTTGAACCCAAGGCTGCTGAACCGTAGTCCGGTACTCTAACTAGTGATCTTGAACCTTACATGTTTGCATCCTCTTAACAACAATCTAAGACGCCCAAGGTTGGGGACCACTGCCTTACATGTTAGCATCCTCTTAACAACAGTCTAAGATCCACCATAGATCAAACTACATTGCTCAGAACCAGCAGTCTTTCTGATGAACGTTTACCACCTTACACATATTTGCTTCTATTCTTATTTGAATAGTAACATGTTCAATCAATTGTTAATATTGCAGTTTACTGTATCTTTAAAACTGCATTTGTTTGTAAATATTTTTGAGCCACCTGGAGTCTCTCCATTGGGAGAAAGGCATAATATAAATTGGATAAATGAATAAACGGCTATTTAGCAGTGTCTGAATGGGCAATAAATATGATCAACTTCACTTTACACCCACAACATTCCCTTTTAACATCCCAATGACATGCTCTAAGTAATGAGGGTACAAGTGGCTGTGAGCCTCAAACATGTTCAGGTGTATGCTTGAAAAGTAGGCGGATTTTATGCCATTTCTGTCAACTGTAACACAAAGATAAATTCAGGTATGCCACATCTAGTTCCATATTACTGGATGCTCTTCTGTGCTAGTCTCAAAATGCAGTATCTCTATTTAGTTGTTCATTATCTAGGCTAAAGATTTGGGAGCAGGAAGTACACAGCCTTACCCCCTATGCTGTCACTTGGAGACTGCTGTTCCGAAGAGCCTCTTCTATACATGGAGACCCTCCACATGATTGAAAACATTGGATTGTCATTTAGGTTGTGAAGTTCTCTGCATAGCAGACAACAGATGATGTCCTCTTCAGATATTCTGTACATGTGGGCAGCAAAAAATGAAAAGAGTAGGGTCAGCAGAGACTTAAAAAGGGGGGAATACAGGAAAACCACAAAAGCCAATGAAATGCTGAAGCTGTGTTGAACATGTAAAGTTTGTAAGTGGGTAGAAAATTAGGCCCCCCACACTGGCCTTTCCTCTAAATCTCTGCCTTACTTGCCCACATATATGGTGCTTTTCTCCGAAAGGGTCTAAGGCAGCTTATAGTATTGAAAGAAACAACATTAAAATCTTGCCATGATCTGAAGTAAACTCTGAAGAGATGTTATATTTATTGGCAGACATTTATTGGCAGCTACTGTAATAAAATTGTATTGATTGCAGGTTTAATACGGAACTATTCAAATGAAACATTCAATATATCCTCCTCTGTCCTCTTTTTTGTCTTTCTATGTCCCCCTTTTGGTCCTCCTTTTGGTACCCATGTATCTGGCAACCCTAATCAGAGACTTGGTTATCTGGTTGCAGAGTTGGAGGTTGGCAGTTTGATTTCCCACTGTACCCCCCAGGGAGAAGAGCCAGCCTGTGTCGCCTTGGGCAAACTGTACAGTCCTAGGATGCCCCCACCCTTAGCCAGAAGGGAGTGGTAAACTACTTCTGTGTATTATCTACATAGAAAATCCTAGAAAGTGTTGCCATAAGTTGGAATTGACTTCCACAATTCCGCACAATTATTATTAATGTAAAGGCACACAGTTATTATTAATGTAAAAGGCAGGGTTGTTATTCTTTTATCCAGTGTTGTTTCTCTTCAGCTTTATCTTTCTGTGAGATGGGCTGCAGCAGCGTCACTGTTCTTAGCTGAAATGTCCTGACAGAATAGGATTTAAGATACAGCAAGTTCATAACTCACCCATTACATAAATATGCCCTCAGCTAGAGAAATATACACATATACAGTATGTTAATGCTAGAAAAAATATACAGATAGGAGGCAACCTCATGGGCCTGTGAAGGCTTTGTTGTCAGCAGACCTATAAAATTCAATCAACCATTTTAGAGATGAGATCAGTGCTTTGAAAAAAATGTTTTCACAGTTGCAAAAGTAAAATTTTTAAAAAGACATCTTGTAAAACCGGCCTGCTATACTTTGCCCCCATTAGTATTTCTACAGAATAGAAAGCAGCTCAGAAAAAGCAAAAGTATTATTGTTAATTCTGTTTCAGATATTCCATGGGATAGAGTAGAAGTATAGCTAAACAATGAATATTATGGATAAATAATGCCGAGTGAGTACGCCATCATTTTCATTTTCCCTACAGCAAGAGTATATTATTAAATACGGGGCGATGGAAGGGTGGCGGTACAGGACAGGGATACCTTGAAGGTGGGGCTGGAAGTTTCAGATAAAAGACAAGTGTGACCATGTGGTGACCAAAGGGTAGTTGACAAAATATCACACTGATTTTTGCCCATGTTGCCTGAATATTGTGTGCTCCCAGGCCAGGCTGAAAGCACCTTAGCTGAACACTATGACCTTTTGATGTCATGGCCAGCACTCCAGTGGCCATGGTGATATGGACTGCTGGATAGCTCAGTGGTTTATGTACCTGGCGGCGAAGTCAGAGGTTGGGAGTTTGATTCCTCACTGTGCCTCCTTGACAGGGGCTGGACTTGATGATCCATAGCACCCCTTCCAGCTCTGCAGTTCCAAGAGTATAATACTGTACACCTATGTTCCATGTAAAACAACATGAAGAGACGCTTCACTACTGACATCTCCTTTCCCCACCTGTGTTGCATTTTCCCCATGAACACTACAGTATAGTTTTAAATTGTATCTGAACCAAGTCCATAATATCAATAACCAGAGGGGAGTTAGTGAAGGAGTGTGGTCCTCTGGGAAGAAGGACAGACTAAGGTTGCCCAGAAGTCTGGACTTTGGAGAGCTGCTTTTGGCCCCAAGAGATGAATGTATCTCCGTTTTAAAACTCTTGCTTTTTTTTCTGTCACAACTTGCTTTGAACTCATCTGTGGAATGTATCATGTTTTATAAATGATCATATAAATGTTTTAAATAACTAATAATAAACAAACAGTGTTTATCTTCATATGCTAATAGTGGTATCTGGATGGCTTTATGCTGCTGAAAATTGTTCCATTAAAGATAAAAGGCAGTGCAATTCATGGATATGCAAAAAACACACAATCTTTTCCTGCACTCTTCTGGAGCTGCAATATTGGAGATAATTCTGTATATTGAAAATGGAAAAGGTCAATTCTAGCACTTCATGACAAAGTTGATTTTTTTTAACCACTGGTGAAGTGAATACTAAAAGAGCTAATTAATTAATGAAAAAAATTAAACAAGCATCACCAACATTTTCCTCAACAATCCTATCAATGTTGCTTTTGGCTATGCTGTTTATCTTTCACCCACACTTAAGAAATATAATTCTGAGTCAATTGCTCATGTGGCACAATCAATATAACCCACATACACCAAATCTGATGCTTTATGGTGTTCTTTTTGTGTTATCACAATACAAAGCACACAGTTGGCTGACTCTCATGTAAAGGGAGGCAGGGAGCAAATAACCTGAGTTATTCAAGCATATGTTTTTGGGTTTTAAAATTCAATCATGCCCTTTACTTCAGATTAAGATCATGTTTACTTTTGAGTTTTTGGCTCAGTGTTGAACAACTAACATTTCTCGACATCCTTGACAAGTTAAAATAAAAAGCTATTAGACTCTCCTGAGCTTAGATCTCACTAGGAAGCAGAGTTTTATGCTAATATCTATCGTTGGTGTATATTTAATTCCTCCAGAATATCAACAGGAGATCAACAACACAATAGGCAGAAAACAGACATCATGACAAAAACAGTGGACATTTTTGTAACATAAAATATAAATGTAAAAAATGGAAAAAATAAATCGAGAAAAGCTGAGTAACACAAAAAGTATAAGGTAAACTAACTAAAGGAGCACCCACAAAGCAAAATAGTAATATACTTACTTACCTGGGAGAAAGTCTCATTGAACTCAGTTGGATTTACATCCAGGGACATGCATATAGGATTGCACTAACGAGCAATTGCTACCACTGGAGACAACAGATGTTTGTGGTAATAATTTGCAGTTCTTTTCTTTTAACATGGTATCAGCATAACTGACAACCCTTTCACATATGCACGTAGCTTGATTTAAATGATTAGATTTCTCTGGTATTTTTTTATGAGTACATAAAAAATACCAGAGAGTACATAAAAAAAATCTTTGGAAAGGAAACTTGAGTCACAGTACTGCTTATAGGACCGTTGATGGTGACCAGGAAGAAGGAAAGAACAAAAGCTGGCAATTAATGATGCCACAAGTGTCTGTCTTTATTTTCTCCGCTGCCACGTTTGGCGGCACCATCGTCATTAATAAAGATAAATGTAACTTTTACCAGGCCTTAAGGGGCTGCGGAGGGAAATAAACAAAGCTAGGACACATTGCATCTAAGTAAACAGAAAGGTTGTAAACCCTTCAACCTCAACTGTCAAGAGTACTGCAAATTAACACTGCACACAAAAGGCCCTTTATAAACCAACTTAATCCTCCCCCATGTATCTACATGAGGGCCGTGCATAACAATATAGGAGCAGGGCTTTCCATTAGAGTTTCCACTACAGGCTGTCAGTTGTTTGAAGAAATAACAATTTCCTAGGCATGAAAGCCTCCCCCCTCCCCAGAATGTTCCCCCGATGTGTAATAGAAGTGACTTTAATCTCCCCCCCCCCAACCTATACCCTGTTCTCTCAATTTTGGTCCCCTCCCCTCACTCCTTCCTCTAAGACACATCTTTGGGGAGAATGATGGGGATGTATTCAGGCCACTGACCCCCTACCAGTTTACCTTGTGCAGATTATCTGTGCAGGTGTTAATATAATTGAAGGTGTGGTAGCAGATACAACCACCTAATAGCTTTTTCTCGATGGAGATTACCTAGGTAGAGAATGCAGAGCTGTACCTGAAGAATAGGCATGTGAGTGCCTTATTAACATATCGCCATTCAGAGGCAGCTGCATATCTGGAAAGAGAAGGGGGGAAAAAAAAACCTTTAAAGAGCCTATTCATCTATGTTAATGGGCCCATTGCACAGTACATTGTGTGGGAAATTAAGTCTCTGGCTGTGAACTTCCTGTGCTGTGGAAGCTGCCTTGACTCCTTTTTAGCCATCCTCCATTTTATTATTGCTTCGCTGTTATTATCTCCTCCTGGAAATAAAAACAATCATGCTCTTGCTCAGGAGAAGCCAAAATATTATCAGACGAGAAACTATTGATATGAGTTGAAAAGTTCCTTTGGTTTGCCTTATTACGTCTGGGTGCGTGTGGCACAAACAGAAGTATGTTTGTAAATTGGAGCAAACCTTAAATTAACATCAGAGTCCATCAAATTAGTGGAGCTGTCATGTCCACTCCCCAGTCACTCAGCCCTTACTTTCCTGGGAATACACATGGTTTATATTTTTTTCCTACGCATTGCTCTTGTTTTGGAATTAATGGGCTGTTGGGGGTGGCGGTTGGCTACAAAATGTGGCCATTTATTTAAGAGAGCCATTTTTTTGGTTTGGGTTTTTTAAATGAGTAATAGGCAACAAATATAGGATTGTCTTTTTGTGACTCTCTTGAGTGAAGAAATATTTAGTGAATAAAATTCAATCATCGTTGATTGAGGTAGGAAATGGTTGTCTTCTTCTCTCATAGACACACAAACACACAGAGCACAGTGCATGTCTCAAATTAAGGAATGGTCATCATTCACGACTAAATGTGAGAATCCCAAACAAATGAGTGAAGCTTGTCCCAGAACATTGAGAAACAGCAGTTCATGTTACCTAATCATAATTGTCAGCATTCATTTGAGTAGATCTGGAAAGGGGAGTGTGCCTTTTTCCAACGCTGATTGGTGGGGGCAGCTCCATTCACCAAATTCTAAGCATTTATATAGTAAATGTACGTGAATTCCCATTGACATTTCTGTATGTGCAGATATAATATGCATACATACATCAACTGTATAGCTATGAATATATACACGGCAACAAAAGCAGAAAGGTGCTACTTATGTACTTTTCTCTCCAAGTCAGGCCATCTTCTGAAAGAAGTAATTATCATCAAGTGTATTGTAACAAATCTTCATCTTTTCTTTGTGACCATAGAACTACACATTGAGCCATCATCATCATCATCCCATTCACCATCATTATCATCATTACTGTCAGCAGGCTCATAAAAGAAAGCTTTAATGATCAATACTAACTGATTACAACTCAATTAAGAGAAATCCCTCAAGAGTATTTTTTTAAAGAAATAAATTAAAATCTGGCCTTTTAAAAGCCCTTTACCATTTTCATGTTACTAATATGCATCATTATTTAACATATGAAATGAACATGTTAGAATGCAAGTAATGCTCTTATCTTTGCACTTGCTGTAAAGTCCTTGTCATCTCGATTTTCCCAGTTCCATATTTCAGTGCATGGCAGAAAATGTCTCTGATAATGTTGGCTTGCAAAATAATAATAATCATGTGCCGTTGAATCAATTCAGACTTATGGTGATCCTTTTTCAGGGTTTTCTAGGTAGAGAATACTCAGAAGTAGTTTACCCTTCCCTTCTTCTGGGGACACCCTGGAACTGTGCAGCTTTCTCATAGCAAAACAGGCTGGCTTTTCTCCTTAGAGGCACAGTGAAGAATCAAACTCTCAACCTCTGTACCTAAACCACTGAACTATCCACCCAGATGAAGTTATAGGAAGGTGCAATTATTGAACAATTCATTCAGCCTATATACCAAATGACTGGCACTCATTCTAAGTATTTTTACTTCTAAGGAAACACCCCACCTACACATTATACATTATATCCAGGCCATCATCATTGTTTAGTCATTTAGTCATGTCCGATTCTTCGTGACCCCATGCACCAGAGCATGCCAGGCCCTCCTATCTTCCACTGCGTCCCAGAGTAGTGTCAAATTCATTCTGGTAGCTTCCATGACACTGTCCAACCATCTCATCCTCTGTCGTCCCCTTCTCCTCTTGCCTTCACATATCCAGGCTATGCACCAGGTATTTTCCCCATTATATAACTCTAGTTCAGCTGAGAGTGGTAATTGATTTTTGCAAGCAGGCTATGTAGACAAAAGTGGCTGCTCTGTATTAGGAAAGCTCAGTTTGGGACCTGTAGTTTGAGTATTTTGACCGTGAAATAAAAATGTGTCCTAGTACAAGGAACTTCTAAAGGAACTCTGTGGTTTTATGGAAATAAGGGGTATTAGGTGCAGAGTTTTTCTTATTAGATCCTTCTCCTTTTCTCTCAGCAAGTGACAATCTGCTGTAGGAAAGGATGCATCTGGTATTAACAAAGGGAGGCCAAAATATACTATGTTCACTGTTATCTCGAGTGGGGTCCATATGTACAGAGATATTCTTTGGATCTTTCCACATGTTTCTAGTCCTCATTCTTTTAAAGAAAGCTGCAATTGCTGCTTCCTTAGGATTTTCATGGAAATGCATTTTAATTACTTTTCAGAAGGCAGTAGATACAATATTTGGTGCCTTTAAAAAATGAAAAGGTACAAGAAAATAAAAAAAATACGTTGCAAGATATGTAATATGTTGTAAATATCTAAAGAGCATCCAAAGAAAAGTTCTGTATGTGGGAATTTTTATAAAGTGACTTGATACTAGCTTTTTCAAAAAGTGTACAAAAAGCAATGATTTAAAAGATTCTGCTGGTACAGTTTCTTGCTTGATTATTAAAAGTTAATTATTCATTTTTATTTCATTGTAAGAGGAAATGACTCAATTGCTGAATACTAAGTCAACACACACATACATCTGATTTATTTAGGTGTATATCTTCTAGGTAAGGGACATGGTGGTGCTATGGGTTAAACTGCAGAAGCCTTTGTGCTGCAAGGTCAGAAGACCAGCAGTCGTAAGATCGAATCCACATGACAGAGTGAGCTCCAGTCACTTGTCCCAGCTCCTGCCAACCTAGCAGTTCGAAAGCATGTAAATGCGAGTAGATAAGTAGGTACCACCATGGCATTAAGGAAACAGCATTCCATGTCTAGTCTCACTGGCCACATGACCATGAAAACTGTCTACAGACAAACGCTGGCTCTATGGCTTGGAAACGGGGATGAGCACCATGCCCTAGAGTCAGACATGACTGGACTAAATGTCAAGGGGAACCTTTACCTTTACCTTCTAGGTAATGAAGGTGACATTCTACTGACACAAAAGAGCTGTCATTAGATTTCCTTAACTGGTATGAAAAAAATGCCTCTTATATGACTTCTGGCTGCATTACCATGACAGACTGATGAAGCATTTTGAGACACCATATGTAACATGGAGTCATCTATACCAGGGAGAGAATCCCATTGAAGTCTTTCAAATAGCTATGCATAGGCTTGCACCATTAATGTGGTGAAAATGGTTTGAAAAAGGCACATACTGCGTTTTTAGGGAATTGCTTTGAGATGGAGGATATGTTTTCGTACTACATGTATCTTTCTGTCTTCACATTTTTTAATCTGTCATCATGTTGCATAGTATACAGAAACTATTCCTTGATTAAAAACTATGGAATATCCACCCTGAACTATGAATGGGAATAGCTGATCCACTGGGTGCCAGATTTGGCTTGCAAAGCTATATCCAGTTTATTACCCTGTTATTTAAAGGACAAGCTTCCCCCATACACTTTAAGATAGTCAAAGGAGGCTTTCCCCTCAGTGCCCCTCAGTCAGAGGCCAAACAACAGAAAGATTTCTTGGCTATGCCTGTGTAGTCAGGAAATGCTCATTGCCATTGTTACAGGGATATTACGCTGTTTAAGTATATGCCATCACATTGCTTCCACCTATGACAACCCTATTGGTTTTTTTTAAGTATATGAGATATTAAAAGAGTTTACCACTGCTGCATACACCCCAGTTAGTTTCCATGACCAAGTGAGGACATGTATCTAATCCTGTCTTCTACTCACTACATAACACTGTTTCTCAAATACTGTTTTGGCACAAAAAAATGCATGGCTATATTCATATATGGATAGCTTTTATTTCTGTAATATCTGTAATTTCTGTAATTAAAATATTACAAAAGTAAGACAAGGGCTGAAATTCTGTTGGCACAGCTACATGACATAAGGCTGATGACATCATCAGCTACAGTGATTAGGAAATAAAAAAATTCTAATTCTCCCCAAAGCACTAGAAGCTTCCATGGGATCCTTTTTTGTCATGGGGAAGCTCTTGAGGGCTGAGGTATGGGAGGAAGTTTTCAATTTCCAAAAATTACCTTCACCAGTAAAGTCATTCCAGTGGTGGCAATCTTCAGAAATTAAAGACTGCCTCCCATCCTATGGTCCCCAACAACTTTCTTGTGACAGAGGGGATTCCTCAGGTACTTCAGGACCTGGGGAGGGGGAAATCAAAATGTGGTTATTTAAAATAAAATGTCCATGGCTTATGATATCATCAGCCTCATATGGCATAGCTGCAGGAACAGGGTTTTAGCTAATAAAACTGTCAGACAGTTGAGTGTTTTCTTTTTAAAGTAGTACAATATTTGAACAAGGGAGTTCACAGCTGAACAGAGTGGCCATG